GTGGGCATCCGGACATGAGGCTGCCTGAAGCTGTGGAATTAGAACTTGTTCCCTTGTTATAGAAAACCAGGACTAGAAAAGATGAGACATTTTCAGTGAAGATGGCCCCCATAGGCTCCTATGTCTGAATGCTTGGTCCCCAGGTGGTAGAACTGCATGGGAAGGACTAGGAGGTTCGGCTTGTTGGAGGAGGTGTGCCAGTGGGTGGGCCTGAAGGTTTCAAGTGCCCATGTCACTCTCAGTTAGTTCTCAATCTCTTCCCCTCTCTCTCTGTCTCCCGCTTGTGGATCATAGGTAAGTTCTAAGCTGCCGCTCCAGCGCCATGTCTGCCTGCTGACACACTCTGCACAGTGTAGTCACCGACTGGCCTCCAGTTACCTGCTTTCCTTTCTAAGCTGCGTGGTCACCATGTCTCTACAGCAGCAGGAAAGGCGCACACACTGGCCTTCATTACATGAGCGAAAGCGTGGCTTTGATTGAAACTGTCCCTGCCATTGGGAAGGCCAGGCAGACAGTGGCCACAGCTGACATTCCCCTTCTCCCGTGGGAAGGGTCTGTCTGCAGCGTCTCATGTGCCTCTTGGTCACGGCCAGGCCTGCTCAGGCATCGGCCCACGCCTTTGTGCGGTTGTCTCCACTGTGTTGCTCCTACTGACTGAGAGTCTTAAACCACGTGTCGTGGGCGGGCCCTGGTGTGCAGCAGGGCTGCTACTTATGGAGGCTTTGAGAAGGTACATTTCACAGCAGCATCATCTCTTTTAAAAGATTTATTTTGATTGTATGTGTCTATTTGTGTGTCCTCAGAAGCTAGACAAGGGCACCCACCACATCCCCTGGAGCTGGGGCTGCAGGCAGAGGTGAGCTGCCCAAAGTGGGTGCTTGGAACTGAACCCCAATTCTCTTCAAGCAGCAGCACAGGCTCTTAGCTGCCCAGCCATCCCTCCATCCCCAGAGGCCATCTTCGGAGAGGACGGATGACGAATCTATTCCAAGGAGAGGATAAATGCAATCAGCCATTCAAAACAATGCATGTGCCATGAAGAACTTTTCAAACACAAACTGTCTGGTGACCTGAGGCCAGAAGGCAACAGCATCTGCCAGGACAAAAGCAAGTCTCTGAGCTTATCTCAGGGGCTCAGCATCTACACAGCCAAGAGCCACCAGGTCATGAGCCCCAGGCCATTATGTCACAGGACTAGGAATGGCTGGGGAAGACCATCAGTGGCTTTGTGAATGGCTCCCTGCGGGAAGGTCTAAGCAGATGACATAGATGAGGAAACGTCTGGGTCCCTGGATGGACTTCTCCAAGGTCATCCGTTGTCAGTTTGAAGAAACAGCAGCTTTCCCATGTCCTACTGGTGTGTATAAAGATTCAGCGATGCCTCATGTTGGTCAGGTAGCACTGTGAAAGATGAACTTTGGTGCCCCAAGAATTAACCAGAGCCTTTGTCAAAACACGGCAGACCTGTGTCTCTCTTAGCAGCCGATTTGCACAGACCGGGGCACTGTGCCCTTGTAGAAACTCCACTTTCAGATATTTATAAGTCCTGATATTTATCAAATAAAATACAGGCAATAGTGAGGTGTGGTGGCTCAGGCCTGCAAGCTCAATACTCAGGAGGTGGAGACCGGAGGATCAGGGGTTCAAGGCCAGCCCGTTCCACAACACTACCCTTGCTACCCAATTCCGCCTTTCAGGCCTGCCCATCAAGGCCAGAAAACCGCCTTGGAGGCCCCTCATGGGTCGTGGGGACTCTACGCTGTGGTCTAGGAGGGGTGCGAAGTGTCAGGTGCCGCATTCCAGTCCTGGTCCCCTCCATCCCGAGCTGCTCCCAACAGCGGTTCCCCAGTTGTGACCTCTATCCTCCATCCTCCAGGACCCTCTTAGAACTCGTCAAATGTGAAAATCCTTACCGACTTACTAGACCGAAACTAAGAGAGCCCAGGCACTTCCTCAGTCTCTGCTCTATCTTTATCCCCGTACATCTCGTAGGCAGGGTAAATTCTGGGTTGAAGTTTTTTTGTGGTTGGGTGTTTCCCTCCCTCTGCTAGGAGACTAGTCTAGTTAGAGGGTGTCCTCTTCCGTCTCTATGGCCTCTGCTACTAGGAGTCTCTGCTTGAGTCCCCCTCACATCCTCCTAGGAACCTACCCTGACTGAGGTCTCCAGCTTGTCACAGAGATGCCCCTACCCCCAGTTTCTCTTTTCCCTACAGGCCTTCTTTCCTCCTGTCTCCTCATGTCTGATCTCCACCCTCTTAACTCTCTGCACCCCCTCTCCTACCTTATTCCCTCTCTCCAGCCATGACCTTTGACAAGTCTATCTCCTCTTCTGAGTAAGATTTCTGCATCCTCCCTTGGACCTTCTATGCTCTTATCTTCTTGGGGTCTGTGCCTCATTGTATGTTTATCCTGTGCTATATGGCTGAAATCCACGTATAAGTGAGTATATACCGTGTGGGACACCTCACTCAGGATGATCTTCTAGTTCCATCCATTTGCCTGCAAAATTCATGATTTCTTTGTTTTTAATAGCTGAGTAGTATTCCACTGTGTAAATGCACCACAGTTTCTGTCCATTCCTCAACTGAGGGACATTTCCATAGTTTCCAGATTGTGAATAAAGCTGCTATGAACATAGTTGAGCAAATACCCAACCAATGCCTGGTGCAACCAGAGACTCACCCTATGGGAGAGTGCCAACCCCTGCCACTATGAAGGAAGCTCTACTAAACTTGCAGTCCTGATAAGATCTGATAGGCTAGTGTTAGGTGAAGGGGAGGAGGAGCTTCCCTATCAGTGGACTAGGGGAGGGGCATTGGGGGAGAAGAAGGAGAGGGTAGGACTGGGAAGAGATGAAGGGGTTGGCTACAGCTGGAATACAAAGTGAATAGACTGTAATAAATAATAATAAATTATATATATATATATATATATATATTAAAACAAAACAAAACAAACAAACAAACAAAAAAAAAACCTTGCAGATAGGAGCCTGACAGAGTTGTCCTCAAAACAGATGCCGAGACTCACAGCCAAACATTAGGCAATGCTTAGGGAGTCTTGTAGAAAAGTGGGAGGAAAGAGAAAAGGACATGGAGGTGACAGGAGCTCCACAAGAAGACCAACAGAGCCAACTAACCAGGGCCCAGAGGGGCTTGCTGAGACTGAAGCATCAGACAGGGACCATGCATGAACTGGACCTAGGCCCCCTACTAAGATGTAGCAGATGGGCAGCTCAGGCCTCATATGGGTCCTCTGGTAAGGGAAGTGGGACTGCATTGAACAGGGACTCACTTCCAAACTTTGTGATCACTTCCCCCTGCCAGGACTGCCTTGCCAGGCCACAGGGGCAGAGGACATGCTCAGTCCTGATGAAACTTGATGAGCTGGGGTGGATGGGAAAAGGGAGAGGGGAGGAAAAGCGAAAGGGTCTGGGAGGAGGGATGGGGCTACAAAGAGGATGTAAAGTGAATAAAAATAAAAACTAGTAAAAAAAAATGAGAGAGAGGACAGAGAGAGAGAGAGAGAGCGCGCCCGGGGCTTTACTTTAATAAACTCCCCTTTAGTTCATTCTAGTAGACGCTATAGTTTATGAACCACTGTTTTAAGAAAAATAAAGAAGCCTACTCTCCCACTTGCTTCAAAATGAAACAGTATGTTCTTAAACGGTTAGACCTCTGGAATGTTTGCTGACATTTTATATTCAGAAAAAAAATTGGGGAAAACCAACCTAATTTTCACATGAGTCACGTATGTGGTCACTTTGACTTTAAAACCTGACAATGGACCAAGCCGGGTCATTCGCTAAGAAAGGCAGAGGCTGGAACCCCAGTACGTTGGATATTTGTGGTCTGAAAGCGAAGTCACCTGACAATGTCGCCTTTTAAATAAAAGCCAGCATCTGGTCCCGCTGTAATTCAATCTCTAGCTCTTGGATGTTTCTGTGTGTGCAATGCAGTTTGACTTTAGCTAGAGGAATCATGAGCAGCCACTCATGAGTCCATAGCATGAAAGGAATATTTTACAGTTCATTTCTTCCACCATTCTTTTGCTACATATATGCAAATATGTGAAAACACATCATTTGGCTGTGTACAATAAAAGGGCATTAAATGTATGTATAAATATTTTTTGTTTTAAATTTATTTTAAAATATATTCGCTATTAAGAGAGACATTAAGTTTGAATGTAAACAGGATTTACATGGAAAAAATTAAGGTTCACTATGCGCATACACAAACACCCAAGAAAAAGTGGGCTGCATGATACAATACACTCCATTCACTAATCTCATATTGGTTTATAATGCCCAAAGAGTACAGTTAAATGGAGGGGAATTGAAGGTGCTTGATGGATGCTTCCCTCACAGCATTTAAATCTCTTCCACTTGATTAAAAATTCCTAGTTCCTCTTCAGTGAATTGTTCGGAGTTTTTGAGCAGCCTCTGCCCTGATTAAAACAAATTAGCATCAAAGATCCCCTGTTGAATGAGAAATCATTAATTGAGAAACATGCAATGCTCCTTAATTACCTTTAGAACAGCGAGAGAACAAATACTCGGAGGGTCCGGAGGGGCCGCCTGCACCACCGGCAGGCTTTGTGGAGCTGCTGGAATAAACGTAGGCTGCAAACACTAGCAAGGGCAGTCGGCGCAGGCTTCAGCAAACACTGCCGATTGTTTATCCAAAGAAAATACCTACCTGGGAAATGACTAACGGAGAGAGGAGACTGCTTGCTTTCTTACTTTGGTGGAAGCTTTTAGGAATGTTTTACGTATGTCCCTGTTGATGGAGAAATGAAAGCCGTTGTTTCAGACACAAATGCCATTGTTGTATGTAAAATAATTCATTTATGGAAGTCCCAGTGAGATTATAGAACCTTCTGAACAGGTGAGAAATTTCATTTTTAATTGGACAGAAAGTGTTGAACTGAAAGAAAAAAAAAACTAGCTTCAGATGGAAATTTATTATTATTTGTTTTTAATTTTTGAGTTAGGGTTTCATTCGGCATGCTTTTTTTTTAAGTTCTATCTGTCTCTCTATCTATCTACTTGTTTATGTATTTTGAGACAGGGCCTCCCTAAGTAGCCAGGGTTGGCCAGGAACTCACAATGTAGTCCAGGCTGGCTTAGACCTTGTGATGATTCTCCTGCCTGAGTTCCCTGAGTGCGAGCATTGTGAGCAAATTGTGACAGGGCACCCAAGTCATTCCGTGTCTCACACACACAGTCCTCACAGCGGCGCCGTGAGGTGGAGGCAGACCCCCCACAGAGGCCGGAGCACCCTGAGGAGCATCCCGGGCAGCGCCTTGTTAAAATGTGGTGCCAGTGTGGAGAGTTAGCCGGCACTGCAGGCTCCAGAGGAAGCCCGCTCTGCTCTCGTCCCCGGGAAGAGACTACACAGTGGTGGTGAGGAGGGTGTGAGAAGGACGAACTCCCACGTAAGGCTGACATTCTGAGTCTATCCTAATGTGGTTAAGGCCCAACATGAAGATTCTCATTTAATTTCAGCAGAAGAGGGAGTGTGTTTTACCAGTTGAATTAAACTTTATACCTATAGACTACAGATTTCAAACTTTTCAGGCATTATTAATCACTATTCTCCATCATGATGATAAACTTGACATTGCTGCAATCTTTTCAAATGGCCTCTTTGCACCTATATCAAAATGATTTCCAAGACTCCGTCAAGAATAATTTGTACCAAAAGAAAATGATACCATGAACTCTGTGAACACTGCTGGGGCTATAATCACGACTGTGAGATTTCAGGACACTAGAAAATTTGGATTTGTTGTTGTTCCAAGTAGTTCTGATGAAGATGTAATATGAACCTTTAGGTATTCTTCAGGATAAAATAATCCTCAGTTCACGAATGTACAAAGCCACAGTGATTCAGCAGCAGACCTTCAGCCAAGGACCACCGGTGCTGCCACGGAACCATGCTCTGTACACTGCTCGAAAGAAAGTCAGGAGAGCACAGCCCTGTCTCATCGTATAAAACCACAAAGCAGAGACCACCGCGCATCCCCACGGACTCCCACAGCCTCCTCACTGACAAGCTCATGGCGAGAGCCCTTTCTCATGTGCATGAGAGTGGAACTGGAGCTGTCACCTGAGGAGTCAGCAAGCAGTGGACACGAGTGTCAGAGGTCCTCTTCCAGATATGCCATCTGCAAATGCATGCTGGGAGGTTCCTGTTGTCCTGCAGCCAGCGAGCTTCAGTTGAACATGGAGTTCTGACTGTCTGAACTTGACAGGCATGTATCCTGTTTGCCGTTATCTATTTGCGTCTCGAGCTAATTCATTTCAGGTCGAAAACAAATTGTTTTCAGCAGAGCTTATGTTTTTATTGATGCCCTTCCAGCCAGCCTTCACTCTTAAGGGCCACTGTATTTCAGAAAGCCAGCATCCTCCCGAACATTATGCTATTCATTTGTCCCTCGAACATTGGTGCGAATGAGGGAGCAGGCCCGCACGTGGAGAAACAGGCTGCCTGGCGGATGGAGGGTCAGAAGACCTGTGCCAATGGGGAAAAAAAAGCCAACAGTTTTTGGTGTTTGCTACAAAACTACCATTTAAGGTTAAGGAAGGAAATATTTAGTTACAAAACATGGAATGGATATTTCAAGATCTTGAAAGCACAAGTCTGAATCACAGGAATGCACTCCAATGATCTCACCTACACAGTAACTAGTGGGGAGCTTTGGCATCTCTGTGAACTTTGTGTTATTACCTCCTTCCACACACACACTTCAAGGGAAAGAAATATCAGTGCTCACATCTGGGGAGTGTAATTTCTTCCATAGCAACAGAAGGTGTGTCACCATGGCCTCCTCTGATGTCACTCATGACAATGACAAAGTAGCCACAAAGTCAGGTGAAGAAGGTAAGCGTCGTTTTCTTCCTTCTTTTAACTGATGTATTTATTAAAAGAGTACCAAGTTCGTAAGGACATTTTCCCAAACTGTGCCCCCACATGCCTCCTTCCACCCTCTTAGTTCACTTAGAAACAGTTTAGACAACTGACCCAGGGCTTTAAAAAATGGGGCTGCCACTTGACTTCATAGTACAATTTGTTTGTGTCCAAGTTTTAAGGTGACTTAGCACATCACCAGAAATGACCGAAGAAGCCTCTGGGCACTGGGGGCTCTAGAGAGCCAGGAAATCAATTGCTACAAGAATCTATTTTCACTAATACTGTTTTCCTGCAAGGTTTCCTAGAGCAGGCTCTGTACCCACCACAGGCAGCTGGCTCTAAGCCGCTTGTGCAGTGCACCTCTTAACTGCTGACCCCAACTTTGCCTAGGACATCGGAGCTAGAGCTCAGGTCCTCGTGCTGGCATGGCGGTGCTTTATTAACTGAGCCACCTCCTTGGCCCTCATGGTCGTGGGAGGGCTTTGGGGCTGCTGGCAGAGGGCTTTACCCTGCCTGTTCCAGGTGGCAGGAGTGAGGGGAGGAGGGAGCTAGCAGGAAGAGGGTCTTCAGTTCAAATCCAGCCATGGCAACATAGTGAGCCCCATGACTGAGCTGGGATATAGCCCATTGGCACAACATTTGCCTTAGATGAACTAAGCCTTACTCCTGAGAAACGTTAACACAAAATCACACGAGGGCATGGACCCTCAACCAAGGGCTGGAATCCTGGCATTCGGACTCCCATGAGCGAGCACACCCTTCTAAGAAAGCCCAGCTCAGCACCAGAATCAACAATACAACTGTCATAACCGTCTTCCATGGTAAGGGCTTTTCAGATTCTGAGGAGTGCACTTTAAGGCACGATCTTGGGAAGGTCAACATGATAAAATACTAACAACAAGAGCAGTGGCGGTAACAACGGGCAAAGAGGGGCTGACCTGAAATCTCAACATGTAGGAGGCAGGAGAATTTTGGGTTTGAAGCTAGCCTGGGCTATAAAGCAAGACTCTTGCAAAGCAAACACAACACCACCAGAAAGAAACCATATTCTAAACTATCTGCTTTTAAAGGCAGAGTTAAAACTTTCTACAGTTTCTAACACAGGCTAGCATGTATAGACATGTGCTTACAATCATAATTTTCATTTAAGAATTTCGGTAAAACTAAATGATAACTGTGTACAGCTAGAAACCCTGCCCAGCACCCAGGTGGCCTGAATTACTTGGAAAATTATGCAAAGCTTTTGGAATTACAGGGATGAACTATTGAAAGGACTCCCTGGAACTGCAGAGGCAGGCAGCTCAGGCCCAGGGCTGTGTGACCCTGTCCTCTGTTAAGGGCCTCTGGGCAGCTTCCTGAGTGGGCTGTCCCCCAGGCTACCCTGAAGTTGAAGATGGGAATCTGCCCTAACTGGAGAGTCTATGGGCAATTGAGTCCTGAGCTCACACTTGGGAAGGAGCAAGCAGCCTGGCAAGTGAGCGTGCAGCTGGTGGACTCTGATCAGGTCTCACTCTCGGAAGCTTTCAGACACAACCTGCTTCAATAGCTCCATGGGCTCCGAGAAATTACGCAGGGCAGCTGTCCCTCCTTGCCTGTGTGTGTGGGAACATTGGCACTTGGACTGTTTGGACGTCCTCAAGGACTCCTGTGAGATCACACTAGATCACAGATTTAGAACCAGAGTTCTGTTACTCTAAATGTCATGCAGGGTTAGAAATCCCAGAAGCACGGGATGTTTTTTTTGAACAAACACTTGACTTGAAAATGTGCATAAAAATTAATAGATGGATCCTCAAATATGTCAAAAGGGAGGAAAAAATTGGCCTGGCCGTGATCACACCCGCTTTCTCTGAGGGCATCAACAGCTCAGCAGTGGGGATCAACACTCTCTCCACCTTCCAGGCGGAGGGCTGGTCCTTCAAAGCTGCCCCAGCACCACATAACTAATGACCCCATGGCAGGGGCAGAGGCTGCCACCTAGGCGCCTCTGTCTCATTAACACCCAAAGAAAACAAGACATTGGAGGGAACAGTAAGAACTGATTGGAGAGGTGTTCTAGTTGATGTTTCCCTATTGACAAGAACAGGACAGGGCCAGGACAGGGCTCAGTGAGCCTAATGTTTGCCTCCATGCCAGGCTGGGGACTTGTGTTCAACCCAAGAGGATGCCTGAGGCTCACTGGCCTGCCAGCCTAGCGAGTCAGCAACCACCAGGCTCAGTGAGAGAATAAAACTGGAGCACATCACGTAAGATGATCAAAAAAGGAAGAGCAATTGAGGAAGATGCCTGCTGCCAACTTCCAGCTCCGCACACACCTCTTTGCACACATTCCTGCACGCGCACGCATGCGCGCGCACACACACGCAAGAACACTACACTACGCAGTGTAGATCACCTTTCTTCCCTGTGTGTCACTGACTTAGCTTCTCGGCCCTCAGAGCGACGGTGAGACTCTTCACGTTCTTTCCAACTTACCAGAGCAGCACAGCACGTCGTGGTGTTTTCAAGGGACTTTTCTAGTTGACCAAGTAATGCTCCCCAGTTGGTCTTAAACCTCCACTCCAGTGAACATGCTCACACTTGGCAGAGTGAGAGCTTACGTGCTGAGGGCCCCTTCCCGCGTCATTGGAAGCTGAAATGTTCAGAATTCCATAAAAAAGGTTTTCCACACAGTCACTCCTTCAAACTCCTACCTTCCCCAAAAGAATCTGCGTAAAAGTGAAACATCCAAATTTAAGGCCTTTAGAATGTGCAGTGGGAGGAGCAGACACAGAGAGCGAGGTCCTTTTGGTTCACTTCACCTGGGGGTGAAGAATTTTATTTCCAGTGAAAAGCTGTATACGCTGAGAATACATTGCATAACTGGCCACAGAGTTAATGGTCAAGTGTGATGTTGTGTAATTCCATAATTCTCTAAAATTCAAAATTTCAAGTTTGGAGAACCCAGTGGGATTCGCGGTAGACTGGATGGCCCCTGCACACGGATGGTGCCCTGAGACTGCACTGACTCAGACAGGTCTGGGCACCCTCCTTGTACGACCTTCTCCACTGACAACTGTTGGGGATTGCACAACTGAGCAACTGCTTTATCTTCAGATAACTCTTTCTTTACAGTGACCCGTTTTGCCAAGCTATTATTTTGTGGGAAACTAAACATGTGAAATGTCCAAAAGATGTTGCTCAAATTACTTGATTGTTTTTAGGAGACGTTTACAAATCCTGCTCAACTGGGTTTCTGAGAGCAAATGTCCTGGGAAGTGGCAGCAACCAACCCCTCCCACCGAAACCCCACAGGCGGTAGAGAAAATTACTAAGACTATTCTACAAATTCATCTGATTTTGAGTGCATGGAAAATAGAGAATTATCATGCCAACCTATGGATATGCACTATATTCAAAAGGCTAGTTATCAAAATAAGAGTCATGGTTCGATGCGACCTAACTATGTTTTATAAGATGCAGCTACATATTCTGTGGTCATTTCTGTTGCGCACTGCACTCATCCCTCATCAAATTAAGCTATGCATACATGGAATTTGAGATAAGCATCCGATATTGCAATAGGGTCACACCCCGCTACTGTACAACCATGGCGTGCAAGTAGCCAGGCCTAACTGCAGAGTGTCATTACCTTCTGGAACCCCAGAGAGCATGAAAGTGTGCATGCAGTACGCAACATTGGTTAGACGTGGCTTTCATGTCAGACAGAACTACAGATGTGCTGCTGCTTTGGGAACCTTCTGCATTGCTCTTCTGTTTCCTGTCATCACCTGATGTCAACCTGGGCCACTCCAGACCGAGCTTCAGTGAGCTGCTGTCGATAACAGGACACAATGACCAGCGGTTCCACGTGTGGGCCGTCACGTTCTTCCTTCTGCTGTTACTCGGGGCCTGTGTCCAGAGGGATGTTTTGAATGTGGCCAGCAGTGAGCATGTTTGCAGTCTGTCAACTTCTCACAGCACCAAGTGACGATGTTGAAGGAGGGGCCTTGTTGCTGCTGCTGGGCACAGCTCCTGCCCTTGCCTGCATTCTACAGGAAGAGGTTGGTAGGCAGCAGGGCACAGGGCATGGGGAAGTGTTACCTTTAAAACACATTTGTTACACCTGTAAAAGGTAACTGGCAAACAGAAGAAAGCTGGAAGAAAATGGCACGTTCTGTGAAGACCCAGAGAAACACTGGCCTGGCTTGCTAGTTCCCAGGCAACCAAGGCATCAGCGTACGGACCAGAGGCACTGCTATCGAGTGGCAGTGGGTCTCTTCTGCTTGTCAAGCTGGAGGCTCTTCGTGGAAGAGGGGACCCTGCTTGGCAGGCAGCCTCCTCTTGGGCATGCTCGGCCACCATGCTCAGAGTTCTGACACACCTCCTGTCCCGACAAGTGCACACATCCAGTGGACCCTCTGCCCTGGCTTCCCATTAGTTGCACAGTTACATTCTCAAACTGACTCTGGACTTCGTGTGGCCATGTGTGGAATTTAAACACATGATCCACAGCCTACCAAGTAAACCCCTTGATTTCATATTTATGATGAGCTAAAACAGCAATTACAGCTGCCATGGCTTGTTCATTTCCAACTCATATGCAAATGACCTAAGTTTGCTAATGAGGCAAAAACTGTACACTTCTCATCCTTCAAGCACTATAAAATGTCTTTCTTTAAAGTCTTGGGATATAAACAGTTGATTTATATGAATTACATATTTCCATCTGCATTAAGAAACAATATACATCTTTTTCCATAGTAAGTTATGCTAGCTCTCAGCCTAAGAGCCATAGAAACTGACGTCACATGTGTGGTCCTCAATACTGTTACTTAGGAAAAACTCACTGGCAATCTCTGGCCACTTGGGACATTGCCCGCTTAGAGGAGACTGTACCTGGCCCTGGCTCCTAGGACATTGTCCTCTGTAAGACCCAAGGCCACAGAACAGCTTTAACGGAAGCCATGGTGAAGTAAACCAGCACACAGCACAGACGCAGTTTCCATCCTCAGACACAAGTTCCTTGACGTGTGGACAGGTGCTTCCGGTTGCGCACGCCGGAAGGCTTGTCCTTGCTATCAGAAGGCTTCTGCTGCGAAATGTCTACCAGGGCACTGGCGATAGCGAGGCCTGGAAGGAAAGGAGAAGGCATTTAGACACTCACATAGATAGACAGACGCTGGGATAGACAGAGGCGGCGGCGTTGGGTAGTGTGAATACATCCATCCAGGAAGCGCTCGGAACCACACATGAGAAGAACAAGAACTACGGCACTGGGCGCCGGGGCAGAGCCGGTGAGTGCAACAGCCAGCACTGACACCGCTTCCCGCCTCACTTTTGAGTCTGAACACAGGTTTTTTTCTGGATGAACTGGGACTCTCCGGGGCTGCTATTTTGCTTTTGCCTCTATAAACAAAACTCATTCAACTCATTCGATGGGCCTTTTAGAAGAAGCTTGGATGGCACTTGAGTTTCTGGAAAAACTGAGCATTGGTGTCAGACTTGAGGTTGGGCTGTGGCTTTCCCACGAGGAGACCACAGATTGCTTTCTTGCCCCCCAAATCCCCTGTGCAACATTGTTCCTTCTCCTCCCCTGGGAGCCCTGCTCTGCTTCTGTAGAGCCCTGTGAATTCTTGAGTAAAACAAAAGAAAATCTACAATTCCCCTTCCAGCCTTGTTCAAGACCTGACAGAAGAACCCCAAAGTTGTGGAGAACCGACTTTGGGGTGAGCTGACCCAGTCCTTCCATCCTCGTGGGCATCATCATATGCTGTTTCCCAAGGAAGATCTTTATTTGGGGGTTAGCCCACATAAGATGCTGTTGAAGCATTCCATTCTCATGCGTCATGATATTCTATGTAAACTCCAAATAGGATCTGGCAAGAACAGAACTCAGGGCTTTATCAACAGAAATAAATGTCAGTAAAGGACCATGGGACAAAGGGGGACACATGAGAGAAGAAGGCCTCATCAGAAGTCATTGGGCCCCCTCAAGTAGACTTTGGTGATCTTTGACCCATCGGAAAGTTGAGCAGGGGTGGTGGCTGGCAGACGTAGGTCCCAGTTAGGAGGCAGAACAGTGGGGAGAGGAATGAGCATTTGTGCACAGGTGAGCTCATGACTACACATACTCTTCTTGGGAGGGACGTGAACTCAGGGTCGTCCACAGACAGGAGGCGTGGAGGGGGCAGCTGTGGCAAGACAGAGAAGGGTTGCAGCTATCAGCAGCCGTGCTTCAGAATGCTAACTCTCCCTGAAATGTTCAGAGCTCACACAGGCTCACACTGAAGATAGGTGTGTTCCTGCTCCTTGACAAGCATGTGTGAATGCCCAGAGGGCCACAAGTTGTGTTGTGGGGTTTACTCACAGTAAATACTTCATGGATGTGAAGGGCTTTAATTTAACTGAAAAAAAAAATCTCAGCCTTTGGTTATGCTAACTAGAAATTCAGACGGCGCAGATCTCAAGTTTCCTCAGGTCTCCTGGCATGCTTCGGTCATAATTTACAACTTCCCGCTAGCTCACTCCTGGCACCAGCTTTTCCAGGCCGGCCAAATGTAAGGAGTGATATATGACTGTTTCACTGCGGGGAGAGAGCACTTACACTCATTTTGATGATTATTATGTCCAAATATGAAATCATGCCAGAGCTGTGACAAATACTTTTTCCTTTACATGTAGCTTCGAACGTTGTCCCTTCTAGTGGACATGGCACCAGGAGTAAGCTTAAATAGCCTCAGGTGCCAAGATGGAAATCGGCTGCTAAGTCACCACTGTCATGGGGTCTCTGATTCTGGGGGTTTACGCAGTCCAGAGCCTAAGTAGAGTGTGTCTCTCACAGCACTCCCAGTTTACCCGGGAGCCTAAATCCTGGGGACACAGTGAACTGAAAAAAATCATAAATCATATTTATTCGATTAATATAAATAGTATACAAATAAAATTAATATACAAATAAAACTGAAAATCATGCTTTTGACTTGACAGCTCTTTGTGCTTTCCTATGCAAGTGAGCAATTAATGTGCCTAGGCTCTGTGAGCATGCTGGGAACCATGGAGGTCCTCCGGATAGTGGTATATAGGTGCCTACCCTATGTGAATGCAGAAGACACTTGGGGTCACTTTCTCCTTTTGCATGGATTAAATGACATTTTCATTCAGTGGTAAGCTTGGCTACCTTTCCAGATCTCGTGGCCCACCAGGAGTTCATAATCCTATAATTATGGACAGCACAAAGATCATAGTCAAATGTAAGGATTTTATTTCTAATTTTGCATTTCTTCCTGTTTGATGTATGGTAAACTTTATAATCACTAGAACAAATCAGAAGTTGCCTGCAAAAGTGAGGAAGGTGGAACTAGGCCCTCTATCTTCCCAAAATGTGTAGAGGATGAAGGGACATGAAAGGCTTAATCTCTAGTTTTAGGCCTTGGCATACTTTGTTACTTAACAAGATCTGTTTTGTTGTTGTTATTATTATTATTAAGTGACAAAAAGAGAAGCCAATTTATTAGCCTTTAAAGGAGGAATGTTATCTTCCTCCCATCCACTAATGAGTCACACGCTGGGGACAGACTGAACAAAGACAATATCCAGATCCTAAATAAAAATAAGCCCAGGACTGTCACCAGCCGCCTGTTAAGTAAACCAGCCTCTGAGCTGCAAGGAGCAGCCCAGGATGCTAGGATGCCAGGGTGCCAGGTCACACTGGAGAGGATCCAGACCGCTCGTGGTGTCCACCAGTGGCCATCCCTCCAGACTAGAGAACCAGCAGGGCAGCCTACCTAAACCTCGCCGTCAGTTCCAACATGCGACAACTGGGAACGTTTGCCATCACCAACTGCGCCATGACTGCTTCTAGTTAGCCCAGCTACGGCTCTGACAACCCAGCTCGCCAACCCAGACCTAACGGTGTCCCCTTGTCCTCTGAAAGCCTCCCACTCCATAGCCTGGCGGCAACCCTCCCATGATGGTCACTGACAATATATATTCTTGAAATAAACATTGCTCACTTGTTTTCACGCTGTGGTTGTGGCTCACATTGGCAACAAAGAGGTGGAGATGAGCAGCCTGGGGGCTGGTCTACACTTTAAAACAAGGCACACCCCCAAAAGTAACCCTGAAATGGGTTCTGAGACCTGCACCCACTATCTTTTAGTCTGGAACTTCTCCCTGTCAGGTCCTTTCCTGGGAGGAAACAGGCCATCTTCCTGTTTGGGGCTTACGGATGCCACTGGGCCCTGCACGGTGACCATGCTGATTGTCACTAGTTCCATTAAAAGCAGGTCATTCCAGAAGATCATTTTCACAGCCTCAGACCAATCATCTGATGGAATCCACTTATTGTGTTTTCTGGGCCCCCACCATTCCTTGTTATCCAGGCACTACAATTAACTGTGGGAACGATTCATTATTTTAGACTGGCGCTCTAAAGGAATTTCATTTACCATGTCATGGTGACGTGCCAGACCTGTGGGCTAGCAGAATGTATATCAATATGTACTCACAAATTCAATAAAAATGCTTGGGTTGAAATATTTACCGCAAGTGTTAGCTTTTTGTACTTTTAATTTTTAAATCCCTGACACTGTGACAGATCATTTAAATTCCAAGTCAAAACCACACTTATAAGAAAGCCCATCTTCTGTTTCCCCATCTTCCATGACTTCCTGGCATTGCCAGTGTGTTGTCCTGGCTCACCCAGGTGCGGATAAGGTATTGAGGAAGTAGAAGCCTTCATCAGAATTTACTTCAGCAAATGGGCTTGGTTCAGCATCACTTTGGGTGCCAAAAGTTACATCTATTTTATAAGTGAGCAGAACGATGTGCTAAGGTTACACTTAGCTGCAACCTGAACTATGTCTGCTCTGTAAAATCTGAGAAATTCACCTCTCTCTAAGCACCTGCAAACATGACCATTGCAGAAAGGAGCATAAGTAGCTGATAATCAAACATTAGCTGGAAAGTGCATCTTCAAACACTAGAGACACATCCGGAATTTAGTTATTGTTTGTAAAACCCTGGTTTTCCCCATGGACATGAGGTGGAAGCAGGAGGCTCTGGCAGGAACAGTCTAATCATAAAATTACTGATGTACATTTCTTTACAATCATGTGAAACAATTAATAAGTACAGCAATAAAATACTGCACCACAGATGAAGCTGCCCTGGAAAGAACATCCCAACATCATGCACAGAGGTTGAACTTCCGTTTTATATCTGAACAGAAACCTCAAAAAAGCCATTCATTTTGAATTGCTTTCCTCCCCAGTTTGTGGAAAAGCAAGCGCCACTATATATTTTAATTTTCCACGAAAACAGCTTCATTAGGCGTGAAAGGTTAATTGCAGGTTTAAGTGGAGTTCAGAGAACGGTGCGGGGTCTGCAGTGAATCGCACAGTCTGCTTCAGGAAGACAGAATGAGTGCTATAAACTGTGTGCCCTGCTGAAATGTTTTACTACCTCATTTACTATCTGTCTTCTTTTACTGCTTGTATTTGTAGTTCTTCTAAACCTTTAATGGCTACAGTTTTATTTCACTGTAATCAGATTTAAATGGAAATACCATGCTGGGATGTTTAAATGTTTTCCTTCTGATTTTATATAGCTGCGCACTTGTGATCAGAACCTGGGCGATCCTTCACATGATTAAGAAAGTGACTTTGGGAAACTTGGATGTCACACATTCTTTCGCTATTGTACAGACTCCATTGAACATTCAGCTTGCAAATACTCAGCCATGGCTGGACGCATAATTAGAAAATATGCATTTCCATTTTAATTTATCTGTTGGAAGGCTAGCACAAGTGAAGTCATTATTAGGCAAAACTCCAAAGGTTACATTGTTGAATAAAAACTGAAATACTTCAAGTGCTCCAGAGACTGGGATGACAAATGGGTCAGTCACACTTGTCTGAGAGCTTTAAAAAAATGTTCTCCCTCCCCTACTAAAATCACTGAACACCACAGGTGCCAGGGTTTAAATGTAGGTGATATTTGTGTTCTGTTTATGAAAGTTCATTTGGCCTTTAGCACATAATGTGTAATTTCATCTAAAAACATAGTGTATGAACTATGGACAATGCGATACTCAAGTTCTATGGATGCCTTATTCAGTATTCTGAATGCCT